CTGGGCGGGCTCTGGCCGGCCTGCTCGCCCCCGCTCCGGGGGAGGCGCTGCGTCCTCCCGTCGGGCAGCGACCCAGCCTGGTTGGCGGGTTGCTGGGTTCTGCAGCAGCCCAGACTCCGCGGTGCCAGGGCCCCCACACGCACAAGTTGCCATTCTTGGCCCAGCACGTGGGGGGCAACGGCCGGCCGGGTAGGGTCTGGCCAGGGGGGCCAGCATGGGACTTGAGGCCTGACCGGGCGTGTCCGAGCCGACCCCCGTCGGGCCCACAGGCTGTCCTGGGCTCTCTGTGAGGCCGGCGCTGCGCCCAGGCCAGGCTCTGCGGGGCCTTAGCCCAGAAGGCCCCCTCGGCCCCCGGCCCGCCCATGGGGACAGACTGGCCTCAGAGCACAGCTGTCCTCCGCTCGGGGGCCGGTGTGACGGGCAGCGGGCTGACGTGCAAGGCGGCGCTGTCTTGGGCAGCTGCAGAGCAAGGGCTCGGGCCGCGTGTCCCCGGGGCCCGCCCAGGACGGCTGTCCACAGGGAGCGGGCCTGCGCCCGTCAGGGCCGGATAGCCTCGCCCCGGCTCCCACGTCGCCCCAACCGGCCTCCGCCTGGCACCCCCGGCTGGGCTGTAGCTGTGCGAGCCCCTCCCGGCCAGCGCAGGGCCTTGGAACCTGCTGACCCTTCTGCGTAGGGGACACCTGTCCCGGACCCACAGGGTCTTTGTCACCCCCGGCCCTGGCTCAGAGGCCAGTCCTGGGCCCTCACGCTGAACAGGGCTCCCCTCTCCCCAGCTCTGGTCCTCCCCATCACACCTGGAACCCCAAGCACAGAACAACAGTCCATTCACCTGCCCCCAGCGGGCACAGGAGGGCAGGGGTGTCCCGTGGCCCCTGGAACAGCGCCTGGCACGGGGCCAGCTGGGTGCAGGTCAGCAGTGAGAAAGCGGGACCCACACCTCTCACGGGTGACTCCGGTGAGGTGCGGCTCCCAGGCCTGCGCCCTGGATCACCCTCACCTTCCGACAGGAAGGGAAACTGAGGCCCAGAGGCTGTGCACTGGACACCGGGGGACGGCGGGGAGGGCTCCAGCCCCACTCTCCACGCCCACTGTCAGGGTGAGGCCACTGACCTGGCCTCCATGCCTAGGCCACCCTCCTCACCCGCCGCTCCACCGGTGCCGCTCCACCCCGCCCCTCCCTCAGGTCGTGCCCCTCCCTCCATGCTCCGCCCCTCTCTTCCCGCCCCTGGCCCCTCCCCTCCCTCCATGCTCCGCCCTTGCCCCCACTCCTCCCCACCCTCCATGCTCCGCCCCTGGCCGCGCCCCTCCCTCCATGCTCCGCCCCTGGCCGCAGTCCTCCCCATCCCTTCAGGCCACGCCCCTGCCGCCCACTCAGGCCCACCTGGACCTCGTCCGGGTCGGGGTCCGCTCCCAGGCGCGCCTGCAGATTGCGCACCATCACCTGTCGCTTCCACTCTGGGATGGGCCGACCACGTTCATCCTGCGTGGGCACCAGCCCGTCGAGGTCGCCGGAGGGCAGCCGGTCCAGCTGCAGCGTGGCCAGGCCATCCAGGGTCTCCTCCTCCGTCTCTATCCCTGTCCCCTGTTCCGATGCCGCAGGTCACTCAGGCACCCTCGGCCTCTCTGGAGATCCGACCCAGGCCAGTGGGGAGCCGGGATGAGATGGCCAGGGCAGTGGGAGTGGGGGGATGGGCAGGACCCTGGGGTGGGCCCTGGGCTGGGGCGGGGGTGCTGAGCGAGCCCTCCCCTCCATGAGTCCCAAAGAGGTGCCCCGGCAGCCTCGTAGGCGGCAGCCTCGTGTGGGGACAGGCTGCCCTGTGGATCCTGCGAGCCGCGGTGGGCGTGGGCACCGGGTGTCCGCGGGGGCCCCCCCATGTTGCGCAGACGCGTCTGGGCCCCAGGGCCGGCGGGGGAGACTGGCTGGGCGGGGAGGGCTCCTGCCCAGAGGGCGAGACAGTACAGCCGCCTGCAGGCCCGGGGCGGGCACCGCTCAGCCGGCGGGAGCAGGAAGGAGGGGCCGGGAGGCGTCCTGGGTGCCAGGGTCGGGGAGAGGGCCTGGGTCCGGCTGTGCG